GGGGGGACGCTCCGCCCCGGCCCGGCCCGGCGCGCTCCGCTCGGCTCCTCTCGCTGTCGCTATCGCTATCGCTGTCGCCGTCGCCGTGGAAGGTGACCCCGCGGCGCCATGGGCATCACACGGGAGGCGCTGCGCGACGCCATGCGCTACATGCTGGAGTCGCAGGGCTTCGACCGCGTGCTCCGCAAGGTACGCGCGGCCGCGCCGAGCGGGGCCCCGTGCGGGCGCTGCCGACCGCCCCCGGCACTAACGGTTTGGGGGTGCCCCCCGCCGGGAGGCGGGACGCGGCACAAAATAACCTTGTTGCTCGGGGGCCTTCTCAAAGCTCGGTGAGGGCGAGGGTTTCGCTGAAGAGCAAAACCGATGGGTAATAATAAACCGGCAGCATTCGCTTCGTAATGCCCCGTGGGCCAGCTAACCTGCACACGCTTCTCTTTTTTAAATGATTTTTTACCCTGTCATCATCATTTAAAATTGCGAAAAGGCAGCTCAGGCCTCATGTTGCCTCAGGCCCGGGGCAGAAGCGCTCCTAGGTGCGAGCCCTTGGGGAAGGTCGCGTGTGAGGAGACCGCCGGGTGCGGTAGCGCTCCCACCGCCGTCACCATCTCCAGCCCAGCCATGGCCCCGTGTCTTGTGCTCATCACAGCAAGCGCAATGACCCGCTCCTGAGGACACGAGGGTTCAAACTCCATGTAGAGCCTGGAGCTTTAGAGCTCCGTCACGAGACTTCGTTCCTGGCTTAATTCAAGCGTGGTATTTGTACAGTAGAAATTGTTACAAATGTCATGCCCATGTTTCCACTGTAACAGCTTTAAAAGTACTAGTTGTAGGGCTGAATATATGGATGCATTTATCCCAGTTTTGCATCTATAGTACTCCTAATCAGAGAAACTTGAGCAGAATATTTTAGATACTGAAATATGACGACTTCTCAGTTTCAGAAGAATCTATTTTCTTGGGTTGCTTACAAGAGGAAGCATGGTAGCAGAAATGTACTGTAATTTTGTCACACACCCATGGGCTGTGATAAAGGTTCAACACAAGTTACAGTTCTGTAAGACGCAGTGTGGTATAACATTGGATACCTCTACTGAGCCACATGAATTTCAATACAGAAAGGTCAGTGTTCATTTCAAAATAGTGATTTTTTCCCAACATGTAGATTAGGTTGCTGTTGTAGTAAGATTAATCAACTAATGTCGATCTTTATTTGTGAGCTGACACATTCACCTTTGTAACTATAGTATGCACAGATCGTCCAAACACTGCTGTGTTGCAGATTAAAGCAAGTGGCAAAGTAACGAACAAACTCTACGCAGCTCCTGAGAGCTTAGCAAGTATTAGTTTTATTAAACTGTCAGTATAAATATTTATCTGTACCAGAATTACAAATTTTTTTCTAAGGCATGAACCTTAAGCTCAGAGTTTATGGAAAGATCTAATGTGACAGTTGAACTTTTATGTTTTTAAGTCTTTTAATTTTTCTCATGAGTCCAAAATTGTAACAAGGTTCACTTTCAACTTGATACAGGGCAGTCTCTGGAGTTGGTACTGTCACTAGTAAGCTTTTAATTTCTCTTTTGGACACACAGGTTAAACTTGTTTCCGCAACCCCGGGGAAACTTGTGTGCGAGCTGAAAGTGGAGGAGGAGCACACGAACCGAGGCGGCACGCTACACGGGGGGCTCACGGCCACGCTTGTGGACGTGGTGTCAACAGCAGCACTGATGAACACAGAAAGAGCAGTGCCCGGGGTCAGCGTGGACATGAACATCACGTAGGTACCCACCATGCTTGCTGCAACACATCAGCTTTCCTTTTACTCGCAAGGTATCCAATCCAGGCTATTCCTTTCTACGCAACACCACCTGCTTTGGCAGTTTTTCTTCTTTGGTTTCAGAAGACTTGTTTCAATAAATTAAGGGGAGGTTGCATTTGAGGATACTGCCAGTTGTGTGGAAAAATGAGTTGGGCTTGTTCTTACTCTGCTCCTGCTTTGAGAGGCAGCAGCCCTTTGCTCACAGGATGCTGAAGGGGTGTGAAGGGTGGTAGAGTGTAGGCTTACCCAAGTGTCTCAACTTCTCTCTTAACACTTGAAGATACTTCAGAGAGTATCCTCAAGGACCAAGATCGAGGATAAGAGGCTTTCTTTTTAGTATTAGTCCATAAAATACTAAAACAGGAAATATTTTAGCTCCGTTGTATGCTGGAATGGGGTAAATCAAAGATCGGTTCAGAATTGCTCACTGGGAAAAGATTTTAGTGTGCTTTAAAGCTAGATTTATATATATCAAGAACAATTCAGTAATATGTTTTAAAGTACTTTTTTTTCTTAAACTTGTTCTGAAGTCTTCTTTGATCATACTATTACAGCTTATCAGCTTTGCTTGATAACTCTTAATGAAGAGATTATAACTGCTTGGAACAAAAGTAATCCTACTTGAAAAAATTAATGCTGAGCATTAAAAAAAAATCTGGGAAAAGTAACCCCTCCTCAAAACTGACTTAAAAAAAAAAAAAAAAAGCTCTCTGAAAGCATGTGAGAGAGAGATCTGTGCATCTATACCAAGTTCTTACTACCCTGCACCTCCTGATTTCTGCACTGGTAGGGTGTGTTCAGAGCATGTGAACAAGCTTTCTTCTGCTTTTGTGATGAGAAAATTATTTGAAATGAAATCCCAAAGTATATATACTCCCACCCTCAAGTACATAAGGGCTGAAATCCTTAGGATTGTTCCCTCTGGAGGCAATCCAAAATGATTCCAAGCAGCATTCAAGTTCAGGAAGCTTCACCTTCAGCAAGGCCAACAACTCTGTTCAACCCCCAACCATTCCCCTGCTTTCCAAGAACAAGTGGTACTAGATATGAAATATTACTAGAGTACATTTTTTTTTCCTTTTTGGGGAAGAAAGCTTCTTAAAAAGTTGTCACAGGAAAGCTATTTCAGGAACACAAAGAACAGAGAAGCAGAGATTTTTTTTTTTAATTTTGATCACAAGAGGATCAGCAGCAGGTTCTGAGAAAGGAAAGGGGCTGAAATCCCACCCACTAATGGGGGTAGTGCTGCATTGGCTTCAGCCTTGACTGAGGATGCTTCTGAAATGGTATCATGGGAAAAATGGATTGGTTGAGGAAGTTTATCTCCAGAAGAGATAGTTATATCCTCTCCTGCATAACTGCAGCACTTAAAAATTGCTGCCTTAACTCCAATCATGGCTGGATCATACTCATCCCGATTCTCTCCAGACTTTTTGGTGGAATTTCTTCCCATTCCCTGGAGAGAGTGTATTTTAGAAGCATACTCACCCACTCATGTAAATAAAAAAGTTATCTAATAAGTGGAAACTGAGTTAAATCAGGAAAGCTTGAAGGCCTCCCAGATTTCCATGACTTCTCTAACATGACTGCAAGAGAAACATGAAAATCAATTAATGTGTGGTTGGCTTCTGTAAAAGAAATGACCTTCTGGAGCTTTGTTCCAGAGACATTTTGCAACTAAACCAGCCAGACTGGTTTAGAAGGGCTGTAGGGAGTCATCATGTAGGGAGCCCTGGAATAAGAGTTGGAACAGGACCTCTAAGTCTTTGATACCTAAATGTTTCTGCTCCAAAATGGACTTTTATCAGAAGAAAGGAATGGTTCTTTCTCTGCTACTACACTCCAACTCTCTGCTCTCTCCTGTAGCAGTTAGTAGGAATTCAAAGACTTTAAGTGGGAGTTTGAAATCAGGCAATTAGAGATGTGTGTTTACTATGCAGTTTTTCTAGCTCCTTTCATGTTTACCTAGTATTTGTGGATTATTCTTGGATTTTTGCTCAGTATGGAATCTTTTTATTTTGTTTTCCATTTAAGATACACTACTGCTGCTAAGATTGGAGAAGAGGTACTGATTACAGCCCAGATTCTGAAGCAAGGAAGAAATCTTGCATTTGCCACTGTGGATTTAACAAACAAGGCAACAGGGAAGTTAATAGCACAAGGCAGACATACAAAGTACCTTAATTAATACAAGAAGGTAACTTAAAAGATAATGATGTGGGATTTAATAATCCTATATGGAGTGATTTTCTCAAGTATGCAGCAAGATGGATCATTAGCACAAAATGCTGATAGCCTAATGAACAAATGTCTGTACTACCATGAAAATTGCTATAAGGCTAGAATTAGCATATACTTTAGAAGGAATAACAGAAAGTTTTAGCATGAGATATATATAAATTTTTCGTTCAAGATGACAGAAAGATAAAGCCTTTGGACCAGCAAATAACTTACCAGCATGACAGTGTTATATTCATGTATGAATAAGCATCTTTCTCCTGGTTTGTCACGGACACAAATACTATATTTGCATATAAAGCACTTGCTCTTTAAAACAGTAGCAAAGGGTTTTTACAAATGTTGTTTGTAAGAGCATTTTGAAAGTGGAAAGTAGGCTAAATACAAAGGGTAGTTTACAGATGCTGTAACAGATAAGTATTCAATAAAATTTTCTGAAGCTCTTTAAAGACTAGTTAATAATTCTGCAATTTCTGCATCGAGTAAAAGCCCATCAGCATGGAGTTACTGGAAAAGTGTTTTGTGTAGGCCTTGTACACAATTTGGCCTGCTAATTTCAACATCATCACCCTATGATTCCCATATGTGATGATATAGGTACAACATCAGGGTTTTTCAGTTCTACCTACAATTATGGTTATAGTTATTTAGAAGTCATCAGGTGAAACTCCGAGCTCAGTCTGAGTATATCCAGTAAGTCTTCGATCAGACTTTAGCTAAAAATTGCCTGCCTTCTGTTGAATTTGGCAGAGCTAGGCAGCTATTCATGAGCTGAAGACTTGTCTCCTCATGCACTGTTGCGGGCAGGTTTAATAACTCTCTTTACATCGATGACAAACGATCCTTGGCAAGGCTATCACACTGTATGAAACACACCTGTGTACGTATGCAGTGTTCTCTAAACTACGTTCTCTAAACTATGACCTTTATTTTCCTTCTCTAGAAAGAGCTCTGAAGAAGTTGAATACACACCAGTAGAGCGCATGTAGAACTCCTCCAAAGATTTGAGTTGTCATCAGATGTGTGTGTGGTTTGGGTTTTTTTTTTTTTTTCCCCTGCTGCATGCATTCCCCAAACCAATGAAATCATTTGATGTGAATCAGGTTTGTTGTGTAACAGTGACCTGCCCTGCAAGCTGATCATGAACATAAAGTTGAACACATTTAATAATGTATCCAAAATCTTTCCAAAATGACTTTAAAACAAGCAGTATTGGCTCCTGTAACTTAACCCTCAATGGCAGTTTTCCACTATATGTCCAGTCAGCTCAGGCTATCAGCACTTATTTTTGCTGCAAGTCTAGGTCATGTTACACCCAATCCTGATGGAAGCTTTTTCCTATGAGGCTTAGAAGGGTCTTAGAAGTGTCACGGCTCACACCCCTGCGGCTAACGGAACTTGCCAGGGTGGCAGGCTTATATTCAGAATGACTTTCCCCTCTCAGTATTTGCTCTCGTGCTCAGAGCCACCCCTGAATCTCATTTATAGAAACACGACATGTTCTAACACATACCAAGACGACACTTAGCTCCAGATTTATCTTTTTACCTTTTTAAAGGTATGACTCTTTTTACCAGAACTATAAGCTTCACTGGATAAAGTTGTTTCTGCCCTTAAAGCATCCTCTTCCCAGAGATCAACTGTGAGCCTTGAACACCTCCAGCTCCTTTGAAATTACTATGAAGAAGATCAAATTGAGAGAAGATGCATCAATATGCAGATATGCCCTTTGGTTTAGCAACTGCAGTTCTGATTGTCTTCCTGTTAACGTATCCTGACACCAGCAGTTCTCATTCACTCTCCTGCTCCTGATTCTCAACTCTATTTTCCCTCTTTTTCTTAAATTTCCACAGGTTACCCATGTCGTTAAGAGTGCAAGAGGTGAAAGATACAGAAGTGAGGAATAGTACCACTCTCACTCCCCACTAGTACAATCCCACCCATCGCTGAAACACACGAGTGATTTTGACTGCTGTCTGAAATAAAAGGCAAGCAGCAATAATGAATGAGGTGCTGAATTTCTAGTACTAAAAGATTCAGAGTGCTCTCAGTGCGTGCTGGGGCAGCTCCACTGTTGTGTAACTGTCCCAGAGCAACTTACCTCAGGCCTCCTCCGTCAGAGCTGGCTGCCACAGGATGCCACCAGGGGGAGTGGTCTCATTCTATCACCCAGCATTCATCACATGGACCTAATTACCATTGAAAAGCGTCCAGACAAATTAGGAATGGCAAACCTCAACACCCAAACAGCAGCATCCTCCTGCTCTTGTTTAGATTGGGAAAGGGCTGCTGCAAAGGTTCCTTTCCCAAAGGCAAAGGGTAAAGAGGAAGACCTTCCTGAAGGAATGAGCCAGCTCCCTTCTGTCCCATAACACAGGATTTTAGTGCTGCCCAATTAATAAAAGTGACATTATTATATATCAACATTATTGATATGTGGGCCAGTTATTTTAGAAGCAGTTCATTAAATCAACTGATAATTTTAAGACACCCATGTTATTTCTCCGTTAGCAGCAGCTTTCTGATCTCGTCATTTATTTCACAGCTTAACATCAGCTTGGGAACCTTCTCAGAAAGGATTGTCACCACTGAGCTTGCGTATGTTTGTCTACCCTGTCAAGTGTCAGGCAATATTTGGAAGTTTTCTTTGCTGATTCCAGGCTAATCACGTATCAAAAGAAAAAGAAATACCTTTCTTTAGTTATGTTTGAAGAGGAACAAGGGAGAAAGTATTTCCATAATAAGGACAAAGTGCACATGGTTCCCTCCTTGACATCAGCACAAGCATTTCCTGTGGGGCTGACTGGGTTCCGTCAGTGTAGATTTAGGCTTAATTCCTTACAAGCAAATAAAAATAGAGAGATCACCCTCTGCTGCTTATTAATATATGAAATATATTCATACTTTAGTGCTGCAAATGATGGGACAGTCCCTCCCAAGCCATGTCCTTCCAGTAACATACCAAACATCTACACCACACTGATGTCTGCCGCTGTCTTTATGCAGGGCCAGTCTTTTCTATCTGTGGGTCTATGGCACACTGTGAAACAACCCACCTCCAGCAGTGAGCATGACTGCAGCTTACCCCTGCATGCAAGACTGCTGAAGAACTCTACCGAGCAGTGGCTCAGTGCTGCTCTCCTTCGTTGGCACATTCTGAGCCGCTACCGGGGGACCTGGAAGAATTCCCAAACACACTGGATCACTAAGCAGTTTCTCAGGTTTTCTCCCAGCAGAAATTGCCTATTCAGGGGAGGAAGGAGGAAAAAAAAAAAAAAAGCAAAAGGAGCAAAAAGAAATGCCCAAACTTCTCTTGCCTCATTCTCTGTGGGTAGGAACGAGAGTACTTTGACCCTGTTTTGCTGTGACACTGTTCAGCAAAGCTCCACCCTTGGCTCGTACGACTGCAGGATGACTCTGGAGCTTTGATAGCTTCCACTTAAGTCAAGTGGCAGCTGCCCTGAAAGACTTTTTCAAGAGAACACAGGAAAGCAGCTTGTAGAACACGTGTTCTAGGCTCACTGTGGGTCTAGCTAACTGTAACTGCCCAAATTATGGGACCTTCCCATATGTAAATCCATTTCAAGCAGAAGAACTAGGTCATAGATACGTTCAGCTATGCCAAGCATTTTGATCAGCCATGCAAAAGAGCAATTACGCTGGCGTGATAACTTCGGCTTGCTTCGGTTGGCCTGTAAAGCTCATTTATCCTTCCAGAGCATCAGTGCTATAATGCCAGCCTTACGGATTCCCAGCTTAGGTGCAGAAATCACAAGGCAGGACCCACTGGTGTAGAACTGTGCTTTTCTTCTTGGTATTTCGCACAGCAGAAGCCATCTGTATGTCAAGTGTATAAGAAGGTGCAAGAAGCAAGAGTTAAACGCCAGGCAAACAGAAAGCAGCCAACTCCTAAAAAAAAAGGGAAAGAGCCGAGACCCTCAGTTCTGAATGGCCTCCAACACCTTAAGCAGTTTCACTCATAGTCATGTTGAAATCCTACATGAAAGTACTGAACAAGTATGGAAGATGCCTACAAGCTGTAACCATATTCCCCAAAAAACTGCATAGCATCAGGTACTCTTAAGTGCAGGTGAGATCAGATCTATACCAAGGGAGGTCCTTTTATTATGCTAGTGATACTACCCTATAGTACAAGTGTTGATTTTATGATCTGGGCAAGTATGGTTTGCAAATACAGACTACTAGAATTAAAAAATACATCTGGTCCACAAAAATATTCCTAAAATTAGCCTCAAGCCCCTGAGAAAATCAAGTGTGCTGGTTAAATCCTCTCCTCTTTTCTCATTACTTAATTCCAGAAAACTTCCCTGGAATCTGTCAGCTTATAAAGCTTCTGATCTTTGTACTTCCACAGCTACAAAGCTGAAAACAGGAGAATTTCCAGGCCAACTCAAAAGAAAGGCATTAGCAATTAAACTCATCCCACATGTCTCTCTGCTTACTATACCTAGGTATAGTCCAGTAATTCTTCACTTGAGCAACTTGGGTGCTATTGCCAGACTAATACAGTCTGAAATGAATCATCCTGTACAGTGCTTTGGAATAACCTCACATTTGAAGGGCAAAAAACTCCAGTGACCACCCGTGGAGTCCAGGGACCACTAACTGGAAGCCACCTAGTGACTCAGCACGTGACAAGCACAGGGAGGACACCGCACTCCTGCAAAAGGGAAGCGGCAAGGCACGAAGCAAGCCTGGAAAGACTGCTGAAGAGGGGTATGTACCAAGGAAAGAAGGCGATGGCACTTGAATCCGCTCTTAGTTTTAAGTAATTTTAAAAGAAATGCATTATGCCTTACTAAAATATGCTAGCAAGAACAGGATATTCTCTGGAAGATGAAGCATGCTGGATGTCTACCTGAGCAAAAGCACTGTACACCTGGATGCCATTAAGTGCAGCTAATTAATGCAGCTCCTAATACACTGAAACCCAACATAACTTAGCTGCCAACTCAAAAAACGGTGCAAAGGAGGCACAACCCGCACAAGAAGATTCTTGTCTGCAACATGGGGCTGGGGGCTGCTAATGCTTCTGCAACTCTGCATCTGCTCTGCATTTACCCATTTACTGCAACATGTAAGCAGTACAAAAAAAGGGTCTTCCACGAGGGTTCTTAGAGTACTACCTATCTATAGGGGAGACTAAGACCCAGCTTTCTTTTACATTTCAAAAATAAAAATCAAGGAAGTCTGAAAATTTAGTTTCTTAAAAAACAAATCTAGAAAATTAAAATGAGGAGAACTACAGGCTTTCTCAATGGCTTAATATTTTATGACCTGCAGCAGAAATAAGTAGCTTGAGCTAAAATATTCAGTGTTCAAACTGTGTTTCTAACGAGTAACAGAAATGCTAAGCCATCCAAGTATGTTTCTAAGAGCGCCTGATATCTATCACTTAATGCTGCAGTTACTGTATAAAGAATAACTTTGGAGAAGGAAATTGTGTTTTGTTTTTAAGATAGGTGTGATAGAAGTGCATCAACTGCCAACCAGCTACAAAGCAGCAACTCCTTTCCATGGGGCAAGTCCTGTGCGAGGTGGCATCCAGCTCCTGTGAAGCACTTGCAGCAAGTAGCACTCACGTAGCTGAAGCGGCCTGAAAAGCCAAGGAAAACCTCTATAACCAGGTACAGGCCCTGACATGTAACATTTCTGCTTCTCATCTACAAGCACATACAGAGCCTTTCTTCACCTTTTTCAGTCTGCTGCCACCACACTTCTTGTCCCAAGGACACATGACAAATCTGCAAGCAATAACCTGGTAGGACTCCCACAGGTGGGTGACATATTGAGCTTAGTCAAGACTTCAACTAAAAACTCCATTCAGGGATAGAAGGACAATTTCAAACTTCACCTTGTTGTTTTTAAGGTCTCCAAGGTTTGTAAGCAGAGAAAGAGAAATGCCCTTCAAAGTGCTAAGTTGTTTGAGAACAAACCCGTGGGCACCCCATCCAGCATTCTCATGTTCCAAAGCCTGCTGCTTTTTGTCTTTTTGATAACCCATACAATACAGATGTCTACCAACTCAATCTGGCAGCACAGTAGAAGCATCACATTTGCCAGCTCTGTAGAACAGGCCACATTTAACAAAGCTAGTGCTGTGTACGTATGCTCTTATCCCAAGAAAGTATATTTAACTCTGGCAACACTGCCACACAGAACAGACTAGCAAGCTGTGTGTTTTACATCTCCCATATAAAACCAAAAAAAGCAATCAAATTCAACAGTTACCTGTAATACAGAGAATTGTTAAGGATCTGGCCATAGCTGGCACTTAAAGGGGATTGTATATGCCCACTCAAGCCAGCATCTTGAGGTTTCTTTCAAAAGAAATGCAAAAATGAAGAAAAATGAAGAAAACTAGTCATTCCTGCATTACAGAATTTAACTCATTTGCTTTGTTAACCAAGGTAACCACTGCCAAGCTCTCACTGCTATAATGACCAAAACAAAAATTTCAGCAGCAGATTTTCACTTAGGAAGCAAAATTCAAACTAATGAAACTTGAATGTTCAAGATTGCACAAAACCTATTGCAAATCACATACTGACATGTTATAATTTCTTACAGGCCATTAAGAAGGAGAACTGTTTTAAGTTGGGAAATTGATCTTTTAAGCACTATTATCAGGAATGGTGATTTTCCAATCTTCTAGAAGGCCATTACATGAAGAATTCCATACAGTAGCATTTTCAAAACATTGTCCTAAAATATCAAATAAGAGTAGGCTTTTTTTTTTTTTGGTAAACTGAGGCATGCATTAATGTACTTTGCAGGTCCCAGGTAATGTTTTTCTAGGGTGATCTAGTTTAACCTGTAGGATGCTGTGACTGAACTGGATTTTTGCCCGTACTCACAAAGCAGGGGCATGACCTTGCCTCTAAC